GAAGAAACAGTATGTTTTTCGTGGAAAATGTAATTTCTGCGGAATTCCTGGTCATGTATCACGTGATTGTCGTCAAAAACAAAAATCGTCGGAAAAGAATGCTAAATCTGGTAAAACTGAATGTCATTCTAAGTCGAAACAAGAAAAGGAACAAGCAGAATTAGTAATTTCCAGTGCTTTGGTGAAATCTGCCTCTGTTCCTGATTCTTCAATTCGTTTTATAGCAGATTGTGGTGCATCATATCATGTGGTTAATGACAAGTCAATATTAACTAATGTTCGTCGAACAGTTGGAAAAATAAATACTATATCTGGTATTATTGAAGACCCTGATCAAGGAGATTTGCTATGTGAATTCTTTAATGGTTCGTTTTGGCGTCCATGTAAAGTTAAAGATGTTTTCTTTGTACCTGATCAACCTTTCAATCTGGTGTCGTTGGGAAAAATGTGTAAAAATAATGGTTTCCGCAACGTTATGGATGAGGAAAAGTTGGTCATTTATAATAACAATGATCCTGTTTTGGTCGGTAACTGGAGCAAACATTACCAGAATATTATGGAGCTTCAAATCAGAATTAAGCGGTCATCAATTGTCAATACTGCTGTTGTTCAATCATTGTCCTGTTGGCATGAAAGATTTGGTCATTTTTCAGCTGCTCAAATAGCTAAAATGATACGTCAAAATCGAGTTGATGGTATTCCTGTTAAGTTGCAGAATGATATGGGTTTTTGTACGTCTTGTCAAATTGGAAAAGCTACTGATGTATCACATCCGCTTGAAGATGAAAATGAAAATATCAAAGTAGGCATGAAGCTGCATCTTGATATTGGTGGTTATACCACTCCGTCTATCCATGGCAATCGTTATTTTCTATTAGCTGTTGATCATCGATCCCGATATCTTAAGCTGGGTTTTATGAAAGATCGTAGCCATACTTTGGATCTATTCAAGCGTATTGTTAATGAAATTAAATTGGATACTGGAACAGATGTTATTTGTATTCGATCAGATTCTGGATCTGAATTCTGTTCAAACGCTTTTCAGCAGTTCTTGATGTCCCATGGAATTATACATCAACGTGCGACGGTTGGTACCCCACAACAAAATGGACGTTGTGAGAGAGCTATGCGCACTTTATTGGAACACGCCAGATCTATGTTATTATCGACAGATCTTCCACGAACATTATGGGACGAAGCGGTTTGCTGTTCCGCATATGTTTTCAATCGAATGTTGAATTCAAGAGATGAAATTCCATATGAAATCTTTTTTGGCAAAAGAGTTGATGTATCTAATCTACGTGTTTTTGGATCCAGGGGGGAAAAGTTGGATAAAGAAACCGGTAAATTGGATCCTAAAACCCGTACGGTTCGTATGGTAGGATATCAGGGTTTATCGATATATCGTGTGTATATTCCTGATAAACATCGTATTGAATTGGCTTCGTCAGTTAAGTTCGATGAAAAACCAACCTGTAATGTTGATAGTTTTGTTAAATCTGTCAGTACTAGTGACACGGAAGATGTTCTGGTCGATATAAATGTTCCAATCCCTTCTGATGGTGGTCATGTTAGTGATAATGTTACTGCTTCCAGAGGACGGGGTCGTCCGGTTGGTTCCACGAATCGTGTTTATCAAAGAAATGAGGAGCGTATGGCGTCACTGCGTCCTCGGGCAATGATTGGTATATGTGCAGCCGGAATGGAACCATCTACATATGAAGAAGCAATTAAAAGTGATGAAAAAGACAAGTGGCAGGAAGCTATGATTAAAGAATATGGCCAATTGTTGAAGCATGGAACTTGGCGGATGGTGGAAAAACCTGTTAATTGTGATATTGTATCGGTTAAGTGGATTTACGTAATCAAAGATGATGGACGCTATAAAGCGAGACTTGTAGCTCGTGGTTTCGAGCAAGAATCATCATCGCTTGATGTATATGCACCTGTCGTACACATGGACACAATTCGTCTCTTCTTTGCTATTGTGGCTTCGTTTGATATGAGTCTTCTGCAGTTCGATTGTGCGAATGCTTTTCTCAATGGTGATATCAACGAAGAAGTCTATATACAACAACCACCAGGTTTTGATGACGGAACTGGTCGTGTTTGTTTGTTGTTGAAAGGTTTGTATGGCCTCCGTCAAAGTCCAAGAAGCTGGAACAAAAAGTTTGATGATACCATCCGTGATATTGGTTTTCAAACTTCTTCGTTTGATCCATGTTTTTATTTCATCAAGTCTGGTAGTGAATTTACTATTTTATGCATCTATGTAGATGATGTTTTATTAGCTTCCAATGTACCAGGTCGTGCAGAAGAAATTGTTGATAAAATCGGTGAAACTATTGAGCTAAGAAAGGTAAATTCATCAAAGTTTCTTGGCATGCAATTTATTCGTAATCGTGAATCAAAAACTATCGTTTTGCATCAGCATGATTATTTGTTATCGAAACTGAAAATTTTTGGTATGGACCAATGTAGTGGAGTAAAAACTCCTTTGGCTTCAGGTTTTGACCCGTATATTGATTCACCATCGAATGCTGATTTCCCGTATCGTCAAGTGGTTGGAGCTTTGCTCTATCTATCATGTAAAACAAGACCAGACATTGTTTATGCTGTGTCTGTGTTGTCCCGTTTTATCTCATGTACTACTGATTGTCATGTTGTTATGGCTAAACGTTTATTGCGATACCTGAACGGTACTCGTGAATATGGCATTGTTTTTACTGGTAAAATGTCTGATATTGTCGCCTATTCGGATGCTGATCTTGCTGGTGACAAGAAAAATGGTCGTACAACAACTGGACATGTCGTATTTTGTGCTGGACCTATCGTTTGGCGTTCAAGATTGCAGAAATGCGTTATCGATAATACAGCAGAAGCTGAATTCATTTCTGCCGCTGTCTGCTCTAAAGATATACGTTTTGTCGTTAATTTCTTGGATGAAATTGGTATAAATCACAATGTTCCCGTTCTCAATTGTGACAATCAAGCTGCTATCAGGCAAATGAATAGTGATAATTTATCGATTAAATTGCGACATATCAATGTCAAATTTCTAATGATAAGAGATTTAATCACCGATGGCTCATTGATTGTTCGTTGGATTAAATCTGGCGAGCAAATAGCTGATATATTCACCAAATCATTGAGTTGTGGATCTCACTACAATTTGCTTATATATATTGTATCAAAATTTAATTATGTTACATAGTTTACATGATCACGGGGAGTGTTGGAAAAGATCATTTAAACTATGACTCTTGTCTTTTATTTTTGCTTTCTCAAACTATATAAATGAATGTTTATTAATGAATAAAATGCTCAACCAAGTTTAGTTAAAAGGTTATGGGCTTTGTGCGCGTATTTTTTGATTTTCTTTTTGTACAACGTGTTTTTTTTTTTCTCTCTCAATTTTTGGTCATCTTTCTTTAACTTTGTGTTTGTTATTTTTAAGCTGTTTCGCCTTTTTTTTTGTGTTTTGTTTTGCAATTAACGAATTTTTTTGATAATGGATCAAAAAGATGAAAAGTTGATTCAAATGCCGAAATTGGATAAAACCAGCTTCAATGATTGGCGCGACATATTGACAGATGTTCTGGAATCGCTGAAATTAGCAAAATTTGTCGAAGAATCTTCGTATGTCGGAACGGCTGAATTTTCTGTTGATGTATTGGCCAAAATAGCAAGAGTTAAAACAATCATCAAGACGTCAATCAGTATTGAAGACCGTCAGCTAATAAGGTCCTGTTCGAATCCGGTGGAGATGTTAAAAGAACTTGACCAGAAATATCGAGGTCCTTGCGCAAAGTCTGCGTGGGAGTTATTAGTTGACTGGGATGATGTGACTTTTGATGGATCGGTATCCGGTTTATTCAGTAAACTGCGTGAGTTATTTGTACAATTTGAAGAAAAAGACTTGGTTTTGCCTCGTTATTTTATCAATGCCAAGGTTCGAAAGTTATTGCCACCGGAATATGACGAATGCCGACGTTTATTAATGGTTTATAATGGTGGGCGTGTTGAATCTGAATATATGACGGACAAGCAGTTTGAAGCTGAAATCCTAAAATTTGAGCGAGATTTGAAGAGCAAAAGTTTGCGGGATTCAACTGCATTGGTATCGGTTTCAAAGAAGAAACAGTATGTTTTTCGTGGAAAATGTAATTTCTGCGGAATTCCTGGTCAT